CCGCGGGGCACCTCGTGGGGGCCGCGCGCTTACCGAGTCCGCTCAGCAGGAAGGACTCGCTCCTTTTCTGCGCCTCGGCCCGCTTTTTGTGGCGGGGCCGGAGCAGGGACTCCAGTCGGGCCCGGGCCAGCGCTCCCTGCATCTCCCCCATGGTCCCGGACTCCGGGCGCGGGGTGGGCGAGCGGGAGTACCCAGAGAACACTGACGTTTCCTTGAAGGAGCCGCCGTGACTCAGGCCCAGCGAGATTTCCTGCCCCAAGTCCCAAAACAAACAAATGACCCTTGTGCACGGCCGAGTCGCTTCCGAAAACGCCTTTTTGTGCTTTTGGCCAAAGCCAAGGCTGAAAAATCCCAGAACTTGGAAGAGGAGGAAGGAAGGAAAGAAAGAGGGAAGGGGGTAGGGGGGAGGTCAGGAATGTGGAGGGGAGGGGGCGGAAAGAAAATTCGCGTCTGCACTAAAAGGAGGGGTGGGGGTGGGGGAAAGAGGTCCAATCTGCATTTCACTTTTTTTCCTCTCTACTAACCTCTGAGAACATTCTGTCCTTTCCGCGTGTGATTTTTTTTTTCCTCCTTGCATTTTTAATCCCTGCCATGCCAAGAACACGTGAGGAAGTGGCAAGTGAGGGAGCCCTGCATTTGCCCGGAGGACCTGGCGTGACCGGGGGTGCGGGCCTTGCAGGGCTTGGCACCAGGGCCACCCTTGCAGCCCAGCTTGCTCTGGGCCGCCTCCATCCAAAAAACCCCAAACTCCTGCAGAACCACTTTACTTTATCCCACAGCGCTTCGGTTCATCCTTTTCTCGCCGGTCCCTGCTTGGGTTTATTTCAGCGCTGACCCAGGAGTCTGCTTCCAGTTGTAGCATTCACTCGCTCACGCTCGCCCCATGCAAACTGGGACCAGTTGGCTCACAAAAGAAGAGAAGGGTAGCTGCTCCAGAAACCAGAGGAGGGAGGGAGCTTGGCGGCGCCGCCGCCGGCCGGCCAGGGAACTCGCCTGCCTTCCAGTAACCTGGCTGCGGGGAGGTGCTGTCTGACCGCCGGCCCGGGCACCCGCGCCAGCGTGGGTCTGGAAACGCTGCGCCCCGCGCGGGGCCAGGAGCTAGGGAACAGCTGGTCCAGGTTACTGCGATTCGCTGGGCCTGGCACCTGGCGCTTGCTGGTGCTGTCTGTGATGGCTGCCCCCGTGACCCCTACCTGCTGTGACCCCTGCCATTTTAGGGCTGGCCACTGGGCCGCAAACACTCAGAAATGCTAACCATCAAGCCAGAATTACATGTGAAGCGGGGTTTCCTAAGTCCCAGGCAGACCTTTACTTGGTAGGGACCACCTTACTTGCCCTAATATCTCCAGCCTCCATTGCTTCTTGCTTTGCTCAGAACCTAATCTTTTGAAAGCAGCTATTGCCAACTCAAAGTAAGGGTTAGGGAATTCCAGCTCACAGTCGCCAGCACCCTTGGGCTTCCTCCTGCATGGAATTTGCATTGAATAAGACTTTGTGATTTCCCTATGCCCTCCATATCACATGTTCTACGACCATTCAAGCATCTTGCCCGGTTCGCTCACCAGGTTCCTTTTCTTAAGAAAAAGACTTTGGCGCAGACTCTCCCCAGAGCACCAACCTGCGCATCAAGTTCTGTTTAAAATATTTAACTAAGAAACATTCTGGCCCAGAACCCTCCCCCCCTCCCGTGCACCCCAGCGCCTGTGGTCTTATTTCCTCAAGTCTGCCACCCCAAATCTTCTGGAAGCATCTTTGCATTACTACCCCCTTCCAATGACAGTAATTCAGGCAGACAAACCTCTCAGAGAGGACTTTATGGCCTCCTCTTTCATCCTTCACGTCACCCAGGGTATCAGTGAGAGTAGTTAAAGATGGCTTTTCTGGTGGTTAGAGGTAGGATTCGGTTTGGCGGGGGAGGCCCCGAGCTCGGTGCCTCTGCTGAGACTTGGAGCTCTGAACCCGTGTAGCTGGGAGCTGGAGGCGGCCGGTCCGGCTGCCATGAACGTCCTTTATATACATGCGGTTACCTTCGGGAAAGGATCAAGCTGCAAAGTTCAACACTGGGCCGTTTATCTCCCCTTCCCCCCATTGCAACATCACCCAGAAAATTACAGTCATCAGCGTCCTGGGTTTATTACACCTGGGGCAAGACACACAAGAAATGCAACTTGACTGATTCACAAATCATCCCAGGAGAAAAACAAAACGCAATACACATGCAGCAGGCTCTGTTTTCCGGGAGGCACAGGGAACTTGAGGTAGAGGGCTGGAAGTGGAAGGGGGAAGAGGCACAACCGTGTGATTTGTGGTCGGAACCCAAAAGGCGCGTCTGATTGCTCCCCCTGCCCCTCCCCCGCGGCTCCGCCCTGGAGACGGAAGGTAAGCTAAACTTATCATTTAACAAGGAGAATCAAGTTGTTGAGACTGGCTTTTCATCCAACCGGATACCTGATGGGTGGAGCAGGCGCCCCCTGTTCTGTCCCAGCAACCTATTAAGACTTCCGAACAGGAAGGTGACACACGGCGGCGGGGTGTATTTGGGGGCTGGGCGGGGAAGCGGTGAGTGATGCGCGCGCGCCTCTAGACTGCGCCGACTTCAGTGGCCCGGTGTCTGCTATTCAAACGCTTGATCTGTGCTTCCTTCCCGTCGCCAGCCTCTCTCTTTGGTCCAGATAGTCCTCCTCCCGGGAGGAATCCGGCCCCTTCCCGCTTACTCCCTGGTGGCCGAGCGTCACCAAAGCGCTGGTAAATGCATCCTAGGGGGCAGTCGCGCTCTCTGGAAGAAGGACTCAGGGATGCTAGCATACATCCGCCTGACGAGAGGTTTGATCCCTTCCAGACAATTTCTCGACAACACCTTTGCAATCAGAGAAAATATAGACGGCTTGAGATGAGGGAGGCTAATTCCCTCTCCGTTTCCCCAAGCCAAACTTCTCAGGTTATGTCTCGGTACTGGGAAGATGGCAATGGAGGGAGACTCTCAAATAGGAATAGTGCACCAAGAGGGAAAGTTTGCAGAACACACACCATATGCCGGTACCAAAAGTTTGCAGAACACACACCATATGCCGGTACCTGTGTTTTATTTTATTCTTATTCTTTTTAGGATACCTGTATTTTAGGACTTCAGAAAACCACTTGGTGCTGCTCTTCTACTTTATGTCTCCTTAAGGATGTACTGAGAAGTCCTGGCGGCGTATTGGTTACACATTGGGCTGTTCACCGAAAGGTCAGGAGTTCGAAACCACTAGATTGCCCTCTGTGGGAGGGGAGGAGACAAGGCTTTCTATTTCTGTAAAGAGTTACAGGCTTGGAAACCTACGGGAGCTACCCTGTTCTAGAAGGGTCGCTGTGAGTCAGCATTGACTAGATGTCAGAGAGTTTGGGTGAAAAAGAGGGACTACAAATATGTACTGACTTGAAGGTTGTCATAAGCAACGGCTGCCCGTTTACTCAAAGACGTGCAATACAGATGATGGCTATTTCTCAACATACCACAGGAGATGTTTTGACAAGATTCTTAGAAGCATACATCTGCATCCATTTGATGGCCCCTGGCTGCTGCAAATGGTTTGCAGTGAACTACTAACCCTAAAATTTGGTCATTTAAAGCTACCCTGGGGAGCTGTGGAAGAAAGGGCGTAGTCATTGGAGTCTCAGTGCATAGTTACCGCTGAGCCAATGAACGAATTAAAAGATGGTGGGATTTTTCAACAAACTTTTTGAAGCCACTTCCACTTCTGAGACCTGTTGCCAGGGTGTGCCTTGTGTCCCAATGCCATGACCACCATCCTGGTGACCCTTTAGGGCAGAGTAGAACTGCCCCATAGGGCTTCCAACGCTATAATCCATCCAGAAGCAGCTGCTACACCTGTCTGCTGGGGAGCGGCCGATGGCTTACAACCACCAGTATTGGTTAGCAGTTGAGCAGTGAGCAATTATGCTTTTC